AGAAGGAGAAGGAGAAGGAGAAGGAGAAGGAGAAGGAGAAGGAGAAGGAGAAGGAGATTTGCACTCAGAAGGTGGAAAACTTAGCAGGTCAGTGTACTGACTTGGTAGAAACTTTGTCCCTACTCTATAATTTGCCCACTGGAAGTAAAAGTTGCTATTCATTTTGTCTAGGTAGGAGCATCTCCAGGACGTGCAGGGTCTCTGCATAAGTGAGAGCCCACTTTTAATCTCAGGTCATGTGGAACCATCCAGATGATCACAATTCTCTGCCCCTGGGGTTAATCTAATCTTCACCTCATGTGTTAATTTCAATTTTTAAATAGCCTGCAAAGGATGCCCCAACACTAAACTTAGCATAACACAATGTAGTCTAACTTGGAAGTTACCAGAGTATGGGGGATTGAGGCCAAGTGACCTCTGTTCTGAAGGAGTGTTGCTGGACCCACACTCTAGGCTGGTAAATGGTGCAAATCTGTGCCTCCTGGGACAAGGGTAGACGGACCTGTCCTTTCAACATCTTCTTGTACATGACAAACACAACTATCAAATGAATCCCTTTATCAGTTACTCCCATTTTATCTAGATTGAGTATCAATTGCTTAGTCCTCTTCTAATCGGTTAGCCAGGCACTGAAGTCACCTTGCACGGCTTCCTCTAAAAGTAAAGAGGAGGAGGAGGATGTCAGCACTGTTTGCCTGTGAAACCCAGGACTTTCTGCACAGAAGAAAGATGCCCTCTGCCGTTGGGCCTTGACCACCTTCCGGCATAATGGCCTTCCCACCTGCTTTGGATCTGCAATCCTAGGTTTTGTGGGCAAAGGGGGAGACATGAAACTGCTTGCACAACAACTGTGCTGGTTTTCAAGATTTGGTTACCGTGCCCTATCTAATTAGCCTGCCAGACTGGAATTTTGTACAACAGGAGCAACTGAAGCACAAAGTCCTCGGCTTGGACCCCGTGCTCAGCAACGGGCTGATTTGTTTGGAGACAGCGAAGTTTGTTATGGCCCAAGGAGAGCGCCTTCCTTCCGCTGCTTGGTAGTCTCTAGACACTGAGCGTCTTTGATTTCCTGGAAAACCGATTACTGAACAGCAGATTAGAGCGCTAATAAAATCCCATTATACCATTTTCAGAAAGTAAATCTGATTGGGATGTTGCCAATTTATCTCTGATGGCCCACAACATAGGCATCCATTCTGCAGGGCATCCTGTTAGCTGTCCTAAATGGATGGGGCAAAGGCATGGAGGTGCGGAAAATACAAAATGCTGGTCTGGCAGGGTAATTAGATAGGGCACGGTAACCAAATCTTGAAAACCAGTCCAAGTTTCTTTGGGTCCCAGCTTAGAGTGAACAATTCAAGGTGGGGTTATTTTGAGTCCTTCGTTTGTTTGTTCATTTTATTAAATTTATTATAGCCTCCCACTTCAAGAATATAAGCCCAGCCGTGGGGCAGGATCAGGCCAAGGGCTCTTTTGTCCACCTCCTTTCACCCATGGGTGCCAACAAGAGGCATTCAGGAAGTTCCCAAGCCAAGGACAAAGGAACCACCTGCCCCCCAGACTTTGCCTTTCTATGGGTAATAAGCCCCATAGAATCTCCTCCCCACAACCAATAGCCTTTAATAGTTGGGTCTTCCATGAATTTTTCCAGGCTTCTTTTAAACTCTTCAGTGGGTGGCCATCACCACAACTGGTGACCGCAGTTTAACAACATGGAAAGCTTCATCATGGCTGGCCGGCTGGAACTCAACTACTCTCTGCATTTTTTTTTTTTTATTTATTATCAAAATTCAATAAAAGCCAACTGCCCTTCTGAGTCATTTCCACTTTGCCGGGAGGAGGCCTCCTATCTGCTAACAGAGTCAGGAAATCAAATTAGCACTGGTTTTATACTCACTTTCTCCACGACATGACAACTGGCAGTCAAGGGCTAAGTCCATCAGCACCGCGCACTAATTTCTTAACTCCCTTAAGTGACTCTGTGCTGCTCTCGAATGCAACTGACCTGATGGAGACCGGCAAGGTGATGGCGAGCATCCTCCGTTTTCCCTTCCTTCTGACCTGCTGGATGAAAGACTGGATTATCTCTCTCCCTATATAAGTCTGTATCTATGTCTGTCTGTCTGTATCATCTATCTATCTATCTATCTATCTATCTATCTATCTATCTATCTATCTATCTACCTACCTATCTACCTATCTACCTATCTACCTATCTACCTATCTACCTATCTTCCATCTATCTATCATCTATCAATCTCTATCTCTATCGTCATCATCATCACCATCTACCAACCATCATCTACAAGGGACTAACAAGAGGATAAACATCACCAGGGGGTGCTGGTGCTCGCTTCCCCCGGCTGATTCCCAAGAACATCCTGCTGAAGCTTGGGATTTCTGACCAACCCTTGTCTCCTACCAAGATTTACACACTGGAGGCAGAAATTGGCTGCTGCAAGGCGTGGTGGAAGTGGTGGTTATGGGCTTCGATCACTTGGTTATGGTTGGGCTTTTTGACTCCCCACTGAGGATGCCCCTATGGGCTGCCATGGAGCGTTAGGACCCAAACTGGATCGGTTGGTGCAGTGGTTAAGGGGATGGTGTAGGACTGGAGAGATCCAGATTCAAATCTATGCTCAGCCACAGAAGTTCATTGGTGAACTGGGGCCAATCCTTCTCTCTCTCTCTCTCTCTCTCACCCACCTAACTCACAGTTCTATATAATTAGAGAGGACATTCACAGAAACTCCCCGGAACCCTTGAGGGGGGAAGGCCGAATATATGCTGATCCAGATAGCATTGTTGCTGCTGTCCTCCTCATACAAAAGATCAAAGGGTCAAGAAGAGTAGATAAAAAGGGCCGCCAGATCCCTTCTCTCCAGCCCCTGCTCATGGGTTCCAACCCCCAGGCCGATGGAGTTTGAATTAGCCAAACACGAGGCCCCAGTCGGTAAGTGGGTGCTGTTTTAGGGTGACAGCCACTTCCTGCACACATCAGGTGTCTGCCCGAGATCTTGGCTGTTCCCTCATTAGAATTCTTGTTGAGTGGGGCTGAGGGTGGGCTCCGCCAGGGATGGCGCCAACATTATCTGGTCCTGCTTGCAGGGACGGTCCCTGAAACTTCGTGCGGACTCTGCCCCTGGTGGCCGTCTAAAAAAGAGGCAGCAGCCAAGAGGACCCATCCCCGATCAGTTTGCATGACATCAGCTGGGGGGGCGGTGGGGGGGGGGGGGGGGGGGGGGAGTGAGTATCTTAGAATCTTCTCTGCCTGAAACTTGAGGCAGCGGAGAGGGACTGATTGCAACATTAATTATGCATTTTTTAAAAATCCAACAGATAGGGAAAAGCAAGAAAGGAGGGGAGCCAAGCACTCCCTGCTTCCTTAATTACATTTAATTTCTCTGCCGAGGCAAAGATAGAGGAAGGGGTGCGGGAGAACTGCAAGGCTCACTCTGCTGTTGTCAAGCCGATCAGAGGAAGGAAGGCGAATTAAACACTTTCTACCCTCCTGGAGGCATCCATGGCTCGCTCTGCTCTGTGGGTTTCCCTGTTCCTGCTCGCATTTGCTTCCAGGGTGCAAAGCAAAGGTAAGGAAACTCGAGCAAAAGTTCAAAGGGTTGGGGATGCCTGGCTGGTGACTGTAGCGTGGAGGCATTTGTACGAGCGGGGTCCGCGTAGAGAGAGGGCCGTGTCTTCCAAGTTGGTGACGCATCTCTACTTCAGAAGTTGAGGCACAGTGACAGAGGAATGCAGGTGAACAGCCCTTGATCTTGGCGTGAAAATGAATTGGTCAAGGGCAGTCCGCTGGAGTTTGTGCTAAATATTCATCATAATAAAAGAGGTTGCACGGATAAAGAAAATAAATAAAACCCTTCTTATCCAAGATAGGTGTGGAAAGGGTTGCTACAAAAGGCAGAGGTGGATACTGGCATAGATGCCTTTAAAAAAAAATGAAGGAGGATTAGAGCTATCCACGAAGGATGGTCTTGAACAGAAATTTGTCATGATAATTTAATGCAGAGACTCCATGTTCAGAGATGGTCTACTTCCAAAGAAAAGAGGCAGGGGGTAAATCATGAGATGGCTCTCGCTTTCATGCCCTGTATGAGATACTCCCAGGGATAGGGAGCCATTGCTAGCCATGCTTGGAAACAAGATGCTCAATAGACTTTTGGTCCAACACTTCAGAGCCGATATCCTTTCATTGAAGCTCCTGGTGCTGGGTGGGTTTATTAGGGGATGTTAAGAGCATTCTCAAACATAGTTCTTTAGTGGTTGCAAAAGTTAAGTATAAACTCACCATTGCTGCAAGAGGAACTCACATTTAGTGTCCCATTAATTGTCTTCTCCGTTGTAAAAGCATTCTTCTGCTTTTCAACTAAATAGAATGGCACATCTGGGAAATTATAAAAATTTGTAGAATTATTGAGAACAACATACCAATGAATAATAAAACCAAGTTGTGAAGCTACAGTCTAAGGCCAGCAGACTCAGAAAAACAATCCCAAATTCCTGGTTGCTTGGAATGGGGGCTGAATCCTTGGATGATACCAAGAGCCCAGAGAACAGATGACTGCATAGCTGTTCAGACTTCCTGTTCCTGCAAGCACCATGTGCTGCTGCTCATAATGGTAATTTGTTAATTAGGAGCTTTTCATCTTGCTAAGCCACAAGAGCAGAATCGTGAGGAGCTGGAAAATGCTGATGGGGGACAATTGGTATTATTTGGTTGCCCTTCGAAGACACATTTTGAGACACACAAATGCATCCCCCAAAAGTTAGCAAACACCATCATTCTGGGAAAATGACTGGATTACAGATCTACAGATCCACATCTTCCTGTGGTCAAGGACAGGTGGCAGAAACTGTTGGAGATTCCCAATGAAAGAAGGGTGATTCCACACACCAGGCTTACTTGAAAGGGCTATTTCCTGAAATTTCCATAATCCATTAGGATCCATTGTGTTGGATCAGACTAAAAGAGCGACTAGTCCAGTATTTGCTTTCTTAGCAACCAACCAGAAGCATCCAAAGCAGCTTTATGAAGGCTTATTTGAAGAGGCTCAGTCAACTCCATATGGAAGCTTACTACACTAACACCAGTCCCCTAAACCAGCCTTCTCTAAGCATCAATGGGGCATCAGAATGAAGAAGGCTTCCTAAGACTGTCAGGTCAGTAGTTCTCCTTGTTAGGCTTGGTGGCATGTTGCCTTCTTGAAGGGATGAGCTGCAAGTGATGCAAACTGGACAGCTCCAGAATGCAGGAAGAATTCTGGTGAAGGACAATTCTTGCCTGACCCAACTGCTTCTGACAGAGATCCAGCTTAGGTAGAGATGGAACAGTTCCTTTTCAAAACCCAACAGGTGGTTTCCACCCAAAGGTCCTTACTCCCACTAGCTCCATCTTGCTCCTGGAATTCACTTGAGGTTCTAGGAGACTCACCTGCGCTTTTCAAGGAGCCTCTTCCTAGATCCTTGTGTCACTTCCTCATGAGATGGGTGGTGCCTAAATTCTAAATCTAAATAAATAAATAAATAAATAGATCCTCCTGCAAGCTGAAAGAGAGCCTCTTTTGTCCTCAAACTGATCTTGCTATGCTGCCATGGTGCAGGAAATGTGGTCAGTTTTAACCAATACTATTGACTACGGGGACATGTTCCAATGTATTTTCCTGTGTACCTTGTAATGACAGGAAACTATGTCTTGTGGTTACATGCAGCTCAAGAGAAATGTCCTAATATAGGGCCACATGAAAAAGTTATTTATCTCTAGTCCTGGGAAAAAGCACATGAAATTGTTGATTGCTTTTCCCCAGAATGATCTTCTGGGCTGGCAACAGTTATCTGTGTCTTCAGGTGTCCAGGAAATAGCCACACATGCCATCTGTAACCCTTTCTAGGTAACTGCATTTAGGGTTGTGTCAGGGACTTTCCATCAACAAGATGCAGCCAGTCAACTCCAAACCCAAGAGATGAGTTGCACACCGAGCCTTCTAGAATCCGAGTCTTTCCATTCCCTCACGAATCCACTTTTCTTGGGAACTGAGTGAAATGGAAAGCTGTATCTTCAGATCTCTTCCCATTCTGCTCAATGTGATCTCATCCTGTTGCATATGGACACAGTGCTGGTCCAGCTGCTGCCATACAAGCTGCCTCTTTGCCTTTTCCATGGTGCTGTGGACTTTGTCTTCCTAGCATATAAAAATCCAACAAACGCTAAGGGTACTTTACAGATCCCACGACCAACTGCTGCATGCAAAAAATATGGGGGCAGAAGAGATGGTAAGATCAGTAATGGTATTCCTAGAAACCATAATCTTCAAAACGTGCTGAGCAATGGAGGCAGAGACCCCCAGCTCCTTCCAAAGATTAAAGTCTTCTTCCTGAGAACTGTGTCAGGTAGCTTTGGCGCTACACTTGTAGACTCCAAGAGAATGTCAAATGCTTTGACTCAAGACCTTCCTGAATTGATGAAACTTTTTTATCTGAGACTTGTATTACGGCCCATAAAACCATCCCTTTTCCTTTGTAATAACAGTAAAGTACACTCTGCCCATGGCGGGGGGGCGGGGGGGGGAGGGGGAGTGGAAGCAACACGTCTAAGGGCTGATCCTGGAGCCCGGCCAGCTGTAGAATTTGCCACATGTCAGTTGCGTTTTAAAGGGTCACTGAGAAAAAACGAAGGCAAATCCTGCTGCACAATTAGGGGAGCAGCCTGCTTGCTGCTGAATCCCCTAATTTGTTTTCTTCCTTCTCCTCTGCCCTCCCCAGAGTCTCTCCATCCAGCTGCCTGGTGCTCGTGAGCTCAGTGAGCTTGCAGGAATTAGGGATTGTGTGAAAAGGCAGAGAGGCCTGCTTGAAAAGCCGCCTCCAAGTCTGCTCCCCCCAAGCACCGGTAGATCTATTCCAATTAGGGACTGCTTGGAAGGTGTGAATTGTGCCCCAATGGTAGAAAGTCATGTACAGAAAGAGACATTGCAGGTAGCAGCTTCGGGGTTATGTCTTCTCTTCCCTCATCGTGAGTTGCTTTACAAGATGAAGTTGCATCAGAAGCCAATATCTATGCTGCTGATGCTGGAAGAATTGTTCCTGGGAAATTGGGGGATATCACAAGATTAGCAAAATATGCTATTCAAAAGGTTGCCCATCAGTTGGCCACACAACTGACTCTTTCTTCGTAGAAAACATATTCTCTCAGTATAAGTTCTGCATAGTTAGTGGTTATTTATTATTGTTTGCATAGAAGAAATTCTGCACAAATGCACAGGACTTTGCCACAAGAAACTCAGTCTAAATGCCAGTAAATTACTAGGCAGGATTCCATGGCCCCTGATGGGTTTAGTCAAAGGATATTGTTACTGTTGTATCTTGAATTTTACCTGTAGCATGGATGGAAAGCAGAACAGGCAGGACTGAGAACGTGAAGGCATATACACCTGGCCTTGTGAATGGGGAAGAAATGAGTGAGTCATTAAGGGGGGACTTGCAGAAAAGATGACTCGGTCCTGAAAAAGAAGAAAGGTGTGAGTGTGAGAAAGAAACTCAGAATAACCCCACCCAATTTTGTTGGGTACGAGATGGGGCACAGAGAAATTCTGACAAGCTTTTAAGATTTCTAAAATGCCAGCCATGCCTGTTTCTTGACCTGGCCTACCTCAAAGGGCTGACAGACACCAGCAAAAGGCTTACTACATGTAGCAGCGGAATAGGAACTGAGACAATGAATAAAGACCCACAAAAAGTACATAGGAAGGTTCCAGTGCTGCACAGTAGAACATCTGTTAATAGAAAGGGAAAGAAAAGATGCAGAGTTAAGCCTTGGGGGACAAGGAGAGAAGGAGACCAAGAGCCCAGAATGTTGCAAGGACAGGAGAAGGACTAGGAGAAAAGACAATGAATGAGACTACAACGTTGGAGCTAGAAGATCATGAAAGGGGAGAAGCCAAGGGCAAGATAGATAGAGATATAGAGATGATAGAGATAGATATGTTCTTAACAGTGTTGCATTTAGACCGGTATGCCCAGGTTCATCCTGAAAGGAGACCATCAAAGAGGGGTGCTGGGTGGTAGAGCATGAGTCTTCCCCAGTGATAAAAGATCAAAGTTATTTGCTACAATTAAGAGGCCAAGAAGACTGAATTGGTGCTTATCACCCTTTCCTCCATGAGAACTCTATTAAGAACAATTCTTCAGAGGACCTCAATTAAAAGTAGTTCTTACTTTCCTATCTTGCTCAGAGCCACACCCAATTGTAGTCCAGCTGGTGGGAGGATGGGGTGCTAGCATCACAGGATAAAAATCCAATATTAGAGTGGAATTAATAAACCAGAATGTTGAGTAAAGCCAACATTCAGGAGCAATGATATAAACATTGTCAAGGAAGCAAGGCCCAACAGAGATCTAGGAAAGTCAAATTGGTGGTTGTTTCTAGGCTGAGATGAAACTTTCACATGTCTTGTGAATCCTATACACAAGGAGAAGCCCTTTTATGCTCAAGGGTACTTCTGCTTCCAAGCTCTTAGGTAGCACTCCTGCACTAGTGTCCTCTGGGACTGAAGAAAGGCAGTTCCTCTGCACTGAATACTGCACCATCATATTCTGAAGGTCCTTCAAGAGTATCTACTGATGTTTACTCTGGGGACCGAAGTCTTCTTGGTTAGCGTCAGACCCTTTGTCCAGAGTTCTTGCTGTTTCCCAGAAGACATATCAGCCTGGGAAGACATTTACCAAACTCAGATTCAGCATAGGCTTCTGCCCAGAGACACTGGTGCAGAACAGGTATAACTGGGCAGAAGACGGAACACCTCCCATCCTTTCCCCCTTCTTCCAAATTTGAGCCCACTCATGTCAAGTCATTAGTAACTTATTCTTGCAGAAAGTGGCTGGGGTAAGACCAAAACAAGGTAGTTGGTGTGATGTGATGGTTAGGGTGATGATCTAGGACTGGGAGACCAAGAAGCTCACTGATTACTTTAGGCCGGACACTCTGTCTTTGTGTCCAATATACATGTATCACAGGATTGTTGTTGCATGGAAAGGCGTTGGAGGAGGAAGTGCTACGCAGGAAAGATGGAGTAGCTCCCACAATGGCATGGTTTGTTTTGTAGTTTCTCAGAAAACACCCAGCAAGGCATCCAGCTCCAATAAGGCAGCCCTCCGCCAACTCTCCGATTATTTATTCGCCAGTTACAAGAAGGACGTCCGGCCCGTCTGGAACTGGAGGAAGACTACCAACGTGGCCATCGATGTCATGATTTATGCTATTCTGAGTGTGGTAGGACCCGTCTCCTCCCGCAGGGACTCCCTTTTTTCTGCTTCCATGGCTACATGGATGGGGACCAAGTCACACACGCCATCAGGGTTTGGGCCAGGGTTTTAGTTCTGAAGACCCCCTTGGAAAATTTCCCCACCTTGTATTTATCAGCTGTGCACCTAAGTTTTTTTTTTTTTTAATGGAAAATGTGAATATAACATGTAGGTGTTTGAAATTGTAGGCATTTAAAGGCAGAAAGCATTTAAAGCTGCTTCTTCTGCTTCATGTATTTTCCCTGTCGCTGCGAAGCTGGAACTCAGAAACTGGCCTCATAATCAGAATAATTGTTTAGACTCAGGGCTGTTTCCTCTAAGTGACAGCTGCTCACAGAGCTTTCTTGTTGAGGTTCTCCTTCCACCAAAGAACCTATTAACCAAAAATGCCAAGGACAGAATCTGTTTTAATGTGGCTTTTTATATAGTTTTACTTTTTCTAATTCAATTAATCTGGTTATACACTATCCAAAGTATTCCTGCTATTGGGCAGTAGAACTGCACAGTTATGACTGGTTGAGAGAGAGAGAGAGAGAGAGAGAGAGAGAGAGAGAGAGGGGATAGATATAGATGTGAGGACTTTCTGTAGACTCTGCTTCCAAGCCAGCCCTCAGCCTTGAGGCATGGGAAGGGGGCAAAACCTTCCTTCCTTCCTTCCCTACCTCGGCTAGTTTTGCAAGTGGGCCTAGGAGTGAACCAGCCTTTCTCTCTCTTCAGCCTCATCTTTGCTTCTCTGCTTTCCGCAGGATGAAAAAAACCAAGTTCTGACAACGTATATTTGGTACAGGCAGGTAAGGAGGCTGATTCCTCTCGGCAGCAGAGCATTCGGCTTTTCCCCTCCCTGTTGGCTCTCCTTCACACCTTGTACTAAGCATGGTTTGTTTAATCATGGATTGTTAAGTAACCTGGGACTGTAGATTTTAGCCTTCTTTCGTTTCCCTTGCTTTGGTTTCTTAGAAACGACCTTAATTTCTGAATTCATCTTCCATGTTGTTAGCTGGTCTGAGTGTTGCATCTGGATTGGAAAGGCGGGTCATATACAGTATTTTTCATATAGTATATAATAAAACAACATAAGTCAAAAAGAAACAAACCCCATTGTGGCTTAGTGCAATGTAGGAAACCAGATTCTGGTCACAGTTGGTTTTCTGGGGTCCTCCCCTTTTATCCACCTCCTCAGAGGTAGCTGCAGAAATGGAGAGCTGAGGCATTTAATTACACAATTTCCAGGGAGGAGAGACAAGAGTCATTTTATCTGGGATGGTCTCAGCTCCTAAAAAAAAATGGTGCCACTGCCCCAAAGAAGAGAGTCCTGGCTATCAGATGAATGGTTGGAGATGGTTGGTATTAGTGGGCAAGAGCAGCTGAAGAATCCCATCGGCACTGTCAAAGGGTTGAGTGGTAGAGTAGCGTTCAGGTTAGATGAAGAAGGGATGGATGGATGGATGTCATGGGGGAAAGAGGCTGTCCTTTTGGTGACCAACAGAAGAATGAGCACTGAAGATGTGACCTAGCTGGGTAACGAAACATCTGCCAGAAAGCAACCAAGCTCAGAGAACCCCAAGGACTCCACAATAGAAGAGAGCCATGAGTTTTGGAAAAGAGGGGTCTACTTGAGTGGTTCAACACCTACCTGTAAATGCAATCCCTCCCATCCTTTTTTTTTTTCACTTTGCAGCACTGGATTGATGAATTCTTGAAATGGAATCCAGAGGACTTTGACAATATCACCCAGATGTCTGTTCCCACTGAAGCCATCTGGGTCCCAGATATTCTGATCAACGAATTGTAAGTCTGCAGAAGCCTCCTTGGGCTCCCCTCCCCTCCCCTCCCCGCTGTGTGTGTTGGGACAGGTTCGGGGGAAACCAGACCATTTGGCTTGGTCCTCCCCTCCCTCTCCCTCCCTCCCTGGTGCTGCTTTGCACTTAGTATTCTCGGTGATGCTTTTTCTTTGGCTCAAACCCGGCTCCATCTTCTGTGTACTGTACATTGCAGATGGAGAGAAGGCTGAGGAACTGGGATGGTTCCAGTAGTGGAAAACTATAAACAGTCATAATTAGCCTTGCTGGGCTGGGCGTGGGATTCAAACATTCTGAGGAAGTCTTTGTTGAGACAATGGAGGGGCAGCTGCAGAGCTGCCAAGCTCTTTCTGAAAGAGTGAGAGAAAGGGGAGTGGATCTGTGGTTGCCAACAGGCCTCCTATTACTGCCATTACAAGACCTTTGCAAGTGCAACTAGAAGGGTCCTTTGGGGAGGAGAGACTCGCCCCATCTCCATAGCAATTTATTAATGTCAAACAACTTCACTGGCAAACACCAGCTTTCTTACAGTAACGTGGGGTACAGAAGCAACCATGCGCCCGAAATGTCCCTTGTTTGTTCTTGTTTCCTCTTCCTCCTGATCTGAGTTTTTAGCAGACTCTTTTACATGAATTAATTGATGGGAAGCAGGCATGCTGCAAAGCAAAGTATTTTCCTTTAATGTCAGACTTCCAGGGCTGCTTTTTAGCCATCACAGAAGCCCAGTAAGGATCCTAAGAGGGAGGGGAGGGGATTTTCACACCGTGTCCTGTTTGAAAAAGTGACCAGAAAGACAACAAAAGGAATTTTGGGTGGCTGGGACCCACCTGGAGGCAGGCAGGGAGCAACCAAACCAGTCTGTCTTCTGCAGAATGGGATTATTCCTACGGGCCTGACTCACCCTTTTGTGAGAAAACCCTTGCCATGCTCTCAAGGAAGGTATGGAAGGAAAAGGATGGAACGTAAGCTTGGTACAGAAGTCATTCCTGGGACTGACTCTGGTAAGGGGAGAAATAGCTCTAGGGAAACCAGTTTGTGGCAACCCAGTTAGAGGAAAGTTCTGATGAAAGGACACAGAAGGGCAGTGTCTGTTCCCCCCCTCGAGATTTGCAGAGTTGGACAGCTGCCTAATTCCCCCTCCAGCCCCCGATCCATAAAGCTGGGAAAGGGGACTCCTTGTTCCATTTGCAAGACCAGTGCTTCTTCCAATACTTAAAGTGACCAGAGCAGGAGGGAAACTTTCTAAAGTTCTTCCTTCCATGATCGGGAATGGGGTAGATAGAGAATGATTAGAGTTTCTGCAGTAATGCTCTTCCTCCAGCCTACTGCGCAAGGGGCACAGAAAAACAGGTTGTCTTGGGTAAAGTTCCCTGTTGCAGAGCATGGAAGAACCTATCAATCCAGACCTCACTCGCTTTCATCCCTGCCACTCTGAGATTTGTTCTGTTCACAAACATCTCCTCTGCCTCAGGGGCAAGCTAGTTTTACAGCTGTGATAGCAAAGTAGGTATATCAGTATCAGTATAGTCCATGTGGGCAATGAAGACTCAAGTGGTGGGACTGTGGCCTGCTTGCAACTGAAGCTATGCAAGCCTACAATTCTCTTCCTTGGGCCTGGCATAAATCTTGTGATAACTGGACATTTGGAGTGGTAGATCTAGAGATAACAAACTGACTGTTGTAAGAAGAGGTCAGCATTTCCGTTCTGAAGATCATGAGATGCGTTTGCAAAATCCATCCTCCACCTTTGGAAACCTGGCCTGGGGATGTTCCATAGCTGATCTACTTTTATGAATTTGCCTGTATGTTAGACCATTGGTGTAGCTTTTCTTGTGTTCCTATTTCTCATCTTCCATTTCCCGCAGTGTGGATGTGGGCAAATCCCCTGAAATTCCCTATGTCTACATCCTCTATAATGGGGAAGTGAGGAATCTCAAGCCTGTCCAAGTCGTAACAGCCTGTAGCCTGGACATCTACAACTTCCCCTTTGACGTACAGAATTGTTCTCTGACCTTCACCAGTTGGCTGCATAACAGTATGTCATGAGCTGCGTTGCGCTATCCTTGGGGCTTCTTGTATGCTGGGGGGACAAGCCATGTCTGTAGTCTAACTAGGAAGGGGAGGGTCACACTGGTCTCTGCCATCTCTGGTTGCTGCAGATATTCCTCTCTTCAACCTTCTGTTGAAGGCAATCCTTTTGACTATGGAGACTTAGTCTAGCAATCGCTGCTGTCCACAGCAGCTTGGTGGAATTCCATAATCAGAAGCCATCTGCCATTTTGCTCCATGAGAGAGTCCCTGGAGTATTTGCCACTGTTGAAGACAGTCTTCTGCAGAGACCTTCCTTTGGGAGGATCCAATGCAAAAAAGTTCTATTGTCACTATAGAACCATTACGAAAAGAATCAGGCTTGATCACAGGCTGAGCTGACTTAAGAATGGGTTGGCGATAGCCCATTTCTCTTTCGCTTTCCAGGAATGGCATGACTCTTTTGTAATGGACCTTTGCTATGTTGCCAGGGAACTAAAGTGAGGTGACCTGAGTAGGGAGGCCAGTCAGTCTCTCATTTGGACACCTCGTAGAAGGATAACGCGGCACCTGGATTCACACCACATGCTAAAGCCTAATCTGGGTTACGTACTGGCTATCTTCTCGTAAGATGCTGTACCCATGGCTTGCTATGAGGGTGTGGCTCACACCCCATTTAAGTCAATGGTTGGGTTTTGACCAGCCGCTGCACCATCCGCCAACCCAGTCTAGTGCCTGGTGCAAATCACTCTTTCCCGGCATCCTCTTCTGTTTCCTCTCTTTCTTTATCCTCAGTCCGAGACATCAACCTCTCCTTGTGGAGGACCCCGGAGGAGGTGAAAAATGATAGGAGCGTCTTCATGAACCAGGGCGAATGGGAACTTCTTCATGTGCTCAGCCAGTTTCGAGAGTTCAGTGTTGGGGACAGCGATCACTATGCTGAGATGAAGTTCTTTGTACGTTGCTGGGGTGGGCACCTGAGGGGAAGCTGGGGTGGATGCCAGGAGCACCACTGGCACAGCAACTGTGGAAAAGACTGGAGCTGGGAGGGTCAGATGAAATCCTGGAAGGAGCCAGTAACTGCCCGCTCAGATAATTATAGCGTACACCCTTCCCATACTCTAGAAGCTGCAGCTGGGGCAGCGTGTGAAGGCCAGTCAAAGAAGCTGTTGACCTATTAGCTACTGGGCCAGTTTGAAGGTTTTGCTTTGGGCCTTCACATCTCTGGGCAGCATCAAAGGCTCTAGATCTTTCTCCCTCTCCTGGCAGGTGGTCATCCGGAGGCGTCCCCTTTTCTATGCTGTCAGCCTGCTGCTCCCCAGTATTTTTCTAATGGTCATGGATATTGTGGGCTTCTACCTACCCCCTGACAGTGGGGAAAGAGTCTCATTCAAGATCACCTTGCTCCTTGGCTACTCCGTTTTCCTGATCATTGTGTCTGACACGCTGCCTGCAACTGCTATTGGAACCCCCCTTATAGGTAACAGCATAATAATACCTTTAGAGTCTTGTGCACTGCTGGGGCATGATAACTTAGGGGCAGCACTCAGCTGGCTTGAGGAAAAGAAGGAACCCTCCTGAGATTCCTATCTTTTACTACTGAGATGCAGTAGTCGGATGCATTCCAAGAGGACTATCTGACTGGCTTATCGAGAATGTTTCTGGTTTGCTTTAGCCAGTAGCGCTGGGGGTGATGGCTCAGACCAGAGAATTTCGCATGTAAGGTGTAGCTGGGACTAAAACTGCTAGGCTGAAATCTAGCATCAACCTGAAGAGGAGATCTGAACGGGTGAGGATCAGGAGGAACTAGGATCCTCAATGGAAGCAGTAGAGAACGCTGAGCTGGAAATGAGGGGTTGCAGGAGGAGGAGGACTTGGTCCTTCCTGGTGATAGGGACTTCGCTGAGGGCTCTGGCTTTGCCCCTGCAGGCATCTATTTTGTGGTGTGCATGGCCCTGCTGGTTATCAGCTTGACGGAGACCATCCTCATTGTACGCCTGGTGCACAAACAAGACCTGCAGCCGCACGTTCCCGACTGGGCGAAGCGCTGGGTCCTAGAACGGGCCACTGTCCTGCTCTGCATCCAGGATAGGAGGGCGTTCCACCCGGTCTGCACTCAGAGTTCAGACATCTCCAAGAACACAGAGAATAATGGCAGCACAGGTGAGATGGCTAATGTCCCAAACCAAGGCCTGATCATTTAGCCACCTGCTATTGCAGACACATTGCACTAAGCCATGGTTTATCAAATACACCACAAGTGGCTGGGTTTGCCACACAAAAAGATAAGGCTTCGTGTGATGCATAAGCCTAGCTATATTTGGATGGATATTTCTCTTCTGCAGAAGAGATCTTATTTTATGAGCCTTGAAGGTTCTTGAATGCTTAGGATGGGCTAAGCAAAGTATTGGGCCTTGGTTTCGGCATGCAACGAGGGGCGCAAATTCATCCTCTGGGCCTGATTCAGCTTTACCAATTTCCGTCTCCATCCACTTCCTCCAGCCAAGCTGAACCACTACAGCTGCGACAGCGCACGCGACTATGAAGGCAGAGCAGGTGGTGCCACAGCCCAGCTGCAGGGCGAGAGCCCGCTGTCAGTCGAAAACATCCTGCAAGAGATTGCAGCCATCCGCCAGTTCTTGGAGAAGCGGGATGAATTCCGAGATATTGCCCGCGAGTGGCTGCAGGTGGGCTACGTCCTGGACGTCCTCCTCTTCCGTGCCTACTTGGTGGCAGTGTTGGCCTACAGCATCACCCTTGGCACACTGTGGTCCATCTGGCAGTATGCCTGACGCACCCACCTTGCCACCACCAGAGAAGGGCTCGGCAGACAATTATGCATCATGAGTCTTTTGCAGATCTTTGGACCCGCTGATCTGCAATTTAATCATGAGTATCAGTTAAACTTTCAGATTCCCCGTAGAGTCCCAAGCCCCAATTTATCTTGCTGAGGGGAGAGTAACAACTAGATATTATAAACTTCTTTATCCTAGGTTTTTACATTCCAGTTCTTTTGGGGGGGGGGGCAGGTATTCTATGGACTGCATGTCTCTTGCATTTTATCTTCTTTATTTTTGTTATCTCTTTAAGAGGGGAAATTTTGGTCACTGAGGACTATTTATTTTTCAGTACATTTCAGTCCCCAAGATGGATAATAGAAAGTTCAAGTGTGTTTTAAAATAGTATTCAACAGCATTGGTATTCTATGTAGCTATCTGCACTAATATTGTCAACTGACCTGTCTGTAAAACGGGCAGAGTCTTCTCTTGCAGTCCTCCTATTTGTTGTGCAATAAACTGAACACATCCAAGCATTGTGTACCTGGGCTGGATTGCATAGCTTATAAGCGAAGAATCACAGAAGACCTCTCTCTCGAGTATCTGGCAGAGGCAAACTGTTGCAGCTGTTCTTAAAGGCAGCATTGATTCAAGAGGGAAGAAAATGCTTATTTAAATGGCTAATAATCTTGAACAGGACTGAATATTTTGGAAGCAACAGTAATATTATATCACAAGAAAGGGAGAGAGAGGACATATTTTGTAAAGGAAGAAGGCCAATAGGGCCACTGGCTGTTCCTGTGGGGGGCGGAAAATGTCTGCTCTGCCCCTGACCAAATTCTGTTAAAATGAATAGAGCAATTTTGTTACTTTGCAGCCAGAGTCATTTCCTGGAATGTAAACAGAATTAAATGATTTGGGATTGCATTTGACTACTCAAAAATATTTCTCCTCCTGCCCCGAAAGACCATCAGCACTTTAACTGCCAAACTTACAAGATGCAGCAGTTAGAGATTTAGTGATGAATTGGCTGCCTTTCTACTATTCCATTAAGGAGTTCTGTGTAACCTAAAAGGTTTCACGTGCAGGGGCAAGGAAACGACATTGGCCCCGTAAATAGTATCACCTGATCCACCCCGGCTTTACATTTACTCAAGTGAGAAATTTACGGCAAGGGGATCCTTTTCAGAACCATGGACAGAGCAACTGGATTTGCAGCACCGCTCGATCCCTTAAAAAAAAAACAGCTCTCAG